TTTTAAAACCCAACTCTCATGCCATTAGAAAGAGGATCATGAAAAACCTATAAAAAGATGGTTCATGAAATTTTAGTTCACTCATAAAGCTAAAGTCCGCTTGCTCTAGCAAAAAATGCCCACTGTGAAACGCCTCCGCAATATGATAAGTACTTTCATGATGAGAGTGATCATGAACAGCATTATCGCATTTTGCACCGCATCCCGGACATTGACTTTGGCAACCAAGACGTGTTCGAATCACATTTTTACACTCATCGTCAGCTACAGTTTCAAACTCATTCTGAAGATTATCCACGTGTTGCTGTAATTTTTGACGATTATGTTCAATCTGCTGAAAACTTTTAATAAATTGAGCAGGGTCTTTTATTTCAGCCGATATACCGATCATTTCAGACGACACATAACCAGGTAGAATCATTCTTAATTGGTGAACAATTTCTCGATAAATTTCGTGTACATTTTGATAACGATTTTCTCGGACTACGGTTACAGCAGTTGTGATTGATTCATCAATTATTGTCTTTAACTTAGTCATTTCATTGAAAATAATGTTATCCTTACTCAATTTAACTTTTTCTAACGCTATTTCGAGATAATAACGATTGATATCTTCAACATATTTCAAAATATTTTTAGCATTAGGCGGTTGCGATCCGATGCTCTCATCATACGCATTACGTGCAATTTTTTTCGCTTCTATATGAGTATTTGTTGACATCGCTACTTGAATTACATTAATCATTGTCTGTTGATAAATGCGTATTGCTTCTGAAACAATATGTCCTTCTAAATCTTCACGAAATTTATTACCTTGTGCAAGTGAATCTTTAATTAATATAAATTGCTGTTTTATGATTAATTTCCATTTTTCTAATTCGTTAATGACTTCTCTCAACTGTTCATGTTTTATTTCATTTTGACGTACAGCTTCACCAATCAATATACGGAGTGAAATAAGTATGAGGTCAGAAGCTAATTGAGGAACATTCAAATACCTATAATGTTGTTGTACACAAGATTTTTGTGCGTTCAATGCATTATCAACGTAAGTTATTAGAGCGACTATTGTCTGAGGATCGGAATATGAACATTCAGTGGTTGTTACCATGCTGATTACGTCTTGATTCAGTTGTGGAATTAAGTCTTGTACAATTGCCAAAAATAAATGTCGATTTCGTTCATTATCACGATGATCAGAAAACCATCGTATGCGACGTTTATACTCATACCATGGATCATTTTTTTTTTGTTCAAATAATTGTTGCCACCAGGATGTTTTCTTTTCATTTGATTCCTGTAAATAAATAATAATTGCTTGAATTACTTGATCTAAATATTGACATTTTTCCATATATTTATGATATGACAACGGTGGACACCGATACCAAATATTTGCATGTAAACCGTTATGCGATTTTACGAGACGATTATAAATGTTTAGTATTATTTCAGCTATATGTTCATGTGTTTTTTTCATCGAATTCAAACTTTGATTAAATTCTTTGACTAATTCAGCATGTTTTCTTTCCAATGCTTCATTTAACTCGTTTGTATCTTTGTTCGTTTGTCTTTCACGTTCAAAAAACTCGGCAGCACTATTCAGTAATTCGCGTTGAACATGAGTTGCGGCATTTGTTTGTGCAACAGTATAAACTTGTTCTTCGAAACGTTGTTGCAATAACTGCTGATGACTGCGTATCGACGGCTCAATGTTTTTGTGTATTTTTTCACGCACGTTTACGTAATATGATTGTTGTGTGCGTGATTCGAAATCATCAAGAGCTTCTTGTACAATGCTATTTGTTAAATTATCTAACATGGCAATAGCATTTTCAATCAATTGTTTCAAGTAAATATCATTTGCTTTAATGTAAGTAGGTGTATTGTTTAATAAAATATGTTGCGATTGCTGTTTTTGTTTTTGCAATTCGTTATCCAATAAATATCTTCCTTCGTTCAATAATTTCTGCGACTTTGAATGTATAATAGCTGTTGTTATATCTTTTAATTCATTAATTATACTCAACTCGTACAATGTTTTACATTCTAACAAATTCTCTCCTAATTCATCAATTGATTTCCAATTATTTGTTAATTTTTGATAAAGATAATCAAAATTTTTATAGCCTTGTTCCTGTACAGTAATCAATTCGTATAAACCGGTGAATATATTTGAACGAAGGTCATGAATTTGTACTGGAAATGTTTGATTTTTCCAACGTTGAACAATATTTATTACTGGATTTAAATCTTCGGAAAATGCACTAGACAATAAAGAAATATTATCATGTCCAATTTCTAATTCATCATCGATGGATATTTTTAAACTTGTACTACTCGCATGTAGATTATCTTTGAATTTATTCAGTTGTTCAAAAAATATGTTTTTATTTCGATCCATCTGATCGCGCAAAACGAACAATATTTTGGGTTTCATCGGCGAACTTTGTATGTGTAATTTGGCATATATACTCATTCCGATCAAACCTTCTAAATTTGAACTTAATTCGCCTTTGTGATTAATTAATACAATGTGAGATGTTAATATTGCCATTGTTATCATTTGATTGTCGAATATTGACCCGGACTCTTCTAACGATAGTAAACCCTCTGTGTCAAGTATTATGATCGTCATCTGTTTATGATAAGCTATACCTAAAACAAAATTAACCTCTGTACTACTATAACTATTCAATTCTAGCTGTAATAAAACAATGGAATTAAAAGAGACCGGAAGCGACATAGATGTTAATTGAAGAGTGTGAATTATTAAATTTTTACGTTGTTTAAAGAACGGGACTGAACTGGAAACAGAACAGTTTTGAAAGTTATTTTTCCACTGTATGTATGCAGTTCTAAAGTAAAATTTTTCATACGCTTCTTCATATCTACACATCGATACGCAGACAGTAGAAGAACCATATTCTGAGGCTGAGTTCTTGCAAAATGTTGTTATGAGTAAAGAATTAGAAAAATTAGCATTAACGAGGGAACAAAAAGCTTTTTCAGTCAAACTTAGCGGGTTATAGGTTATCAACTATGCTGAATTCGAATATCATAGTCGTAGTTGCCCAGAGACCTACAGAGATCAAAACCGGTTTTCCGGAAAACCAATCTTGTAGAAATTCTGAAAAATAATCCAAACTTTCTTAATCAGTTATTATTGCAGCTCGCAAATTCCTAATTAAAATGAGACATCTCCCAGCTCTATACGACTTTTCTTTCCAAAGTTATAGAATTTACCAGAAAAGCCCTAAATTAATTTCTTCTTATTTCTGTAGTTTTGAGGTGACAATGAACATTTAACGCTTTTCTTGTAAATTCTATAACTTTGCAAAGAAAGATCGTGTAGCACTGGGAGATGTCTCAATTTAATCAGAAACTTGCGGGCTACAATAATAACTTTTTAAGAAAAGTTTTAGTTAATTTTCATAACTTCTGAAAAGCTGGTTTTCCAGAAAATCGCTCTATGGAGATCCCTGAATAGCTACCACTATGATATTCGGATTCAGCATAGTTGATAACCTATAACCCACCAGATTTCGCTGAAAAGGATTTAGGACCAAATAAATCTAGTCTTACTGTACGTTTTTGAAATATCATATAAATTTGCACTTTTTTGCACAATATTTTTTTGCATATAATAGAAGATATATATAATCCGAACATATGACTGTTCTCTTTTCAGCTTTTTCGTTTTATAATTTTTTTTTTGACTATTCTCTAATCACTGCACATTTGACCATAAATAGGCAACCATTCTCTTTTTAACGCTAATACCGTTCTCTAAAAGATCCTTGTCCTATTTTTGAATTTATATCCCTGAATTCTAGTATTAATCAAGATAATAACTATCCTCTGTTTTTTCTATAACTTTGTGGAACGCATCAAGATGTATATACGTTGAAGTATTTTCAATGGACGGACTGCAAATTACCCAGGAAAAACATTTTCACTGATTGTGATCCTCTCTTTTAAAAACTAATAAAAACTTCAAAATGAATACTGGGACTTTTATTCTCATACAGTAGATAAAGTTACATACACAGAATTACATGTAATCCTGAATACTGAAAGCAGAAAAAAGGGCTTACCTAGATACATTCCAATGGTACATCTGCCGGAGCTAATGCGAAAGTTGCAGCCAAATGTGGTATTCATCAGTGAACTTTTGGCTGATGATTGTTCGCCTACAACTGTAACGACAGCTAACGGTCCACATATTTTCAGTTTTTCCAAGCACTTTTTCATTAACTGACTCTGGCTGACTAATGGTCGACTACGTAGAATATGTATAGCAAATCCTTTATAGACGAGACGTGATATTTTGTCCGTTAAAAGTTCAAACATAGCTTTATGTTTTTCGAAATCGACGGGTTGTTCTTCGTAAAGAAAATCATAAAGGGCAAACAATTCATCGCACAGAAGACCGATGGTCAAATCGACGTTAGCTAGTTTAGAATCAATCATAATAACTTGTTGTTTGACATACGTATTTTGTTCTCGTAATTTTTGTAATTCACCGGCAAGTTTATCAACCTCTGTTTGTTTTTCAATCTTTTTTAATTTTTCTAATACCTCTTCAGATGATTTTATTTTACGTTCGTTTTCGTATAGCAATTTTTTCACAATGTCTTTTTCTTGTGTTAGTTTCGAAGCATAAGTATTTCGCCATTTTTCAAAATAATTTTCTGTAACTAATAATTCAATATCCGTATGATTAACTAATAGATCAATTATAAACTCAGTGTACACCGAAAATGGTTTATGTGTCTGTCTACTACGTTCAAATTCTTTCAGTTGATTACTCAATGTTGTTGATGATGCTGTATGATTATCTTCACGCAATCGGCGTTTGATGGTATCGATTTGTGAACGTAGATAGCTGACTGGTGTAACATAGAACAAATTTTCTGTCTGATCTGATAAATGACCAAATAATTCTTCTAGTTTCTGTTCAATTTCAAATTTAATATGAATTTGAGGCATAAAATACGTAGATTTTGTTCGATTGCTTAAATATGTTGATAATAAAGAAAAACATGAATGAAATGTAAAGTTTTTCTGACAAATTCGATCTTCAACTTCTTGAATTAACTAAAAGACAGAAAAAGAACGTTAAAATGTCAACATTTTACTTCAAGACTGCATCGTAGTTACATTGTTAAATGACGATTTTAAACGTTCAATTCGACGTATCGTCTTTGTTTCATTCGAATCTCTTATCATCTTGGCTGTAATGGGAGCTGAGATCCAAAATATATTTGACCACCTATTTCCATTTGAATAATAATTCTGAAAACGATTTATCAATTGATTTGTTGATTGTTCTTTATCATAATCTGGATCAAAAATAACAACAATAGTCGGTTTCAAATGAATAGTTGCTGAATAATTTATAACCGTAGATAAAAAGTCAGGAACATTTGGTTCAATTGGTAAATCTTGTTCTGTAACATAGATGACTTGCAATGAAGCATAAAGTTGAATTGATCGAATCAATTCAAGATTTAAATTTTCATCGATTGTACCGTGAATATCAAATATGACATACGATTTTTCAGGCATACTTGTATTGGCAAATAAAACATCGATACATGATGAACGAAATTTTTGTTCTCCATCCGTAAATAATGATTTATTACGTTTATCATTGAATATAAACGGTAATAAACTCGTTTTTCCTAAACCTGTACTTGATGGACTTCCAACTTGTATAAACAATCTGTTCTCTGTAATACACAATGTCTCTAATAAACAATTAAAATTGATCATATACACATTCCTGTCTTATTTAAAAACGCGTGTAAAACGTTCGCTTTTTTTTAAAAAGAATCATCAGCTCCAGTTCTTTTGACTAGAAATGATGACCGGTTCCAGTTCTTCAGAAAAGAACTAAAATTCACTACTAATACTAAAATTATTACTAAATAAACTACTACTTATAATACACACCTAATTTTGATCAACATGTCGTTCGAAAGAGCAAAACAAACTGAACAATATGTAATACTTACAAGATTTTAGATTCAAAATAATACTCAGAATCATTGGGAGCAAAACTTCAAAACTTAGAGAAATAAAAAGTTTCTCCTGACTGTGCTACCGACTGCTGAGTGCATTACCACAATGTTTTAATAATAACTCCTTATAGAAACAAGATTTTCCAAAGAAACTTTTTGGCATCGTAAAGCTTGATGTCTTGGCTACAAACGCACGCAAAACAGTTTTTTTTCAGTACGAGAAAATTCGCACTAATTTTAACTTTTTTGTATTATCCTAATGGAATAGGGTCTTTTGAATGAGTGCGTTACAGCTGTTTTCAGTACCCCTAAAATCGTAACGGTAAGGCCAAAGGAAGTCAATTTTATAACGACCTATGTCTTACAATTACCTAACTATACTGTAAGTTTCAATACTTTGTCACTTAAGATGGCTGAATTACGACAATCCGATCGTCAAAAAAGGGTGAATGCGATACCTGTGGACAGGCCGTTATCGATAAGCCAGACGAAATCTTCCTCTTGTTGTTTTACTCTAGAAAAAATTTAATGATGGTTAGAATCGATAAAGATTTAATTTTAGTAGTATCGAGCTAAAAATCAGAGATGATAAGACAAACGAGAGATTGCTGAATATGATCATACTTTGAAGGACCTGTTTAGCTGTTAACATTAAATCAAACAAAAAAAACAACACGAAGAGAAGACGAGCAGCATCCCACATGGTCATATGTACAAAAAGAAAAGAAGATACCGTTTTTTTGTAGCAGAACAAAAACATGCGAAAATTTCGTGACAAGACGATTCCGCGAACAGGACTCCGACTCTTACGCGAATTTGTACATAATACAAATTTACCTATTTCTGGCAGTATGTGATGGGCAGTGCGGACAGCGTGAGAGCGGCTTCGAAAAGTAGTTTCACATGAAAGATATTTAAATGGCATAGCGTGAATGTGCTTGAGTTTTTAAGATACTGATGTGTGGGCGTTCTTAATATTTATTTACAAAAATTCGCGGAAGAGTAGGGATCCTGTTTGCGGAATAGGTGGCTAATCGAAAATTTAAAACAAATAAAAAGCATGCTTTGCACTCACGTCTAAGTGAAACGCGTCAAACAAACATACGACAGCCGAACAACGACATAGTCTAACCAATTCTTGACAAAAAGCAAAGAGGTATTCTGTGCTTTTCTTGCCTTCTGTAAGCAGAAAAAGCAAAGTTTTTTCTCTATTGTTTCTTACAGAAATGAGTGCTGTATATTTTTTGTCTTTTGATGTAACTAGGTTATATATGCTCTTTTTAACGGTAAAATTCTAGAATTTTTGTTTTTTTATCCTTCTCTGTGTAAATATTGTTACAGCGTAAAAATCAGAGTATGCACTGGAAAGAAAATAATCAAAAAGCAATACGTTGTAAACCGTGATATGGCTCTGTATGCTAACATTTATTTTAGTTTTCTCTGATGATAAATCATAGATCGATGAAAAATCAGTACTTTGAAACGTAGTGTAAAAGGAAAACGACAACGATATCTAGGCCTTCGATATTCTCCTAATAAGTGTTGTGTAGATATTTATTATGTCAAAGCACACTATGAAATAACGATTTTCAGAGTTAAATACATATAAAGCAAGCTTTTGTTACAAATGCGATTATTGGCTCATGTTCTACCAGCGGATTCCCACTTGCTCAATTTTCTTGATCTTTAAAGCAGCACTTGTAGTTGATAAATACTTTATTCCCGTATAGTGACATTTATTCAACACCTGGCTATATGTTAGAGAATAATAAACAGTATAACGAGAAAATGAGATGTGAACACATCGACAACAAGCGATTAAAGGAAAAAACAAGAGAGAACAGTTGTTGTGATTGTTGTACAACAAATCACGGATCATATTCAAGGCACAGAATCTATACTATATATCACCGGAATACAGTGGCGTATACAGGGTGGGGGGGCATTGGCCCTTTTTATTTTTATTATTTTTGTTTTTCCGTTTTAAATTTTTATTTGGATGTATTCCCCATGCGTTTNCCCCCCCCCCCCCCCCCCCCCCCCCCCCCCGGCCGCGCCGCAATTGCCCATTGTAATTTTTATTAGTAAGTTTTTGCCTATTGAAATTTTACTTAGCAGGTATACCCATGCGGTTTTTTTTGTATAACCCTTAGAAAGATATATGTAAGAGTGCCTATAGACAGAATTGTTTGTTTATTTTTGAAGTAGAATTTGAATTAGAATCTAATTCAAAAATTGAAAGAATCTCATTTTATTTTTATGTGTTCTTTTTGGACCAAAAATCTTTTGGCCCATCGACAAAAACCTTGTCCATTTTGCCCATCATTTTTTTCCGATACAATAGGAGTTTGCCCATTGGACTAAAAATCCTGGTTACGCCGCTGCCGGAATATGCACTATTATATTAAATTAAGTAGTCCTTCTTACAACAATATGTAACAAGGCGACTTCATATAAACAGAACAAGTTATGACATATTCAATATAGCATTACTGTAGAAGAAGTTATCATCAGCACGTACACTTAACTTTCTATCTTAAGTTATCAACAAAATTTTACTTGTCTCGTTCCTATTTTGCAATGACTGCTGTCTCTGTAACCACTGCTGACTCGTCGAAATGATTTTGAAAAACATTTTTTTTAACGATGTTAATGAACATATCAACTCTCTACATGAAAATATGGGGAAAAACCTGTTATTAAAAAGCATACTTATGATAAAATATTAATAGCGTTGTTACCCGAAAATTATTATTCTCTTTTGTTCTTTTTATTTAATGCCTATGGTATGACTACTTATTTTTGTTCCACAGTTCGTACTATTAACTCTTTTATACTCTTTTGTTAAAAGTTCGAGAATAATTTCGTTTTCTTCTGAGTTGCAAAAAATATTTTTATAAACAAAACTGAACGTAAAGCAAAAGAAGAGTCATGTCAACTAGGTATGCACCAGTACCAGTAAAAGTACTCCACAAAAGTTTAAGACCTTTTTTGTTTTTGCAATAACTCAACTTCCTTGATAGATACAGATTCTGTTCTTTCGCCAAAAGAAAGCCTACGTTGAGTACTATAAACCCTGGCAAAATGGTTAAGTTCCGGCTTAATTTGACTGAGCTAAGGCAAAAACACGGTGTCGAAAACGAGGACAGCCCCTCTTAGATGGACTAATAAGGTTCCAATAGTTCAAAGTTTTAGTGGATTTTTGTTTTTAATTAGACACACATATTCTGATTTGTCTTGAGCCGATGATTACGAATCTGATCTTATTTTTTAATTTCGACCGAGTTTCCACGGAGAAAAACTCGAAATACTAATAAGGTATGAAAATTACCAAAAAAATGACTTTTCGAAAAATAGAGTTCATCTCCTCTCCATTTCACTTTTGGGTTTCACCAACATGATTTTCGGATGCCACATGTGAAACTGCATTTAGACACGTGTTCTACAGGCTCATAGCGCATATTGTAACATTTGTGGAAAATTATAAAACTGAATGACTCTGTTGGTGAAACCTAATTTTGCAAATCCATCTAGTTTTTGCGGTCGATACATCGACATCTAATTCATACGTCATGCAATTCGCCATTTCAAGCGCTACAAAAGTATAAATTTATTTTTTTAATTTTGTTTTCTATGTGAAGAAAAATAGGCTGCAGCAGGAATCATAAAAAATCCTTGAAGTGATTCTGGAATAAATTTTTCATTTTTTGCCAAAAACTCGTCATAATACCTAAAAATAAGTTAGATAGAAAAATGGCTCTTGAAAATTTCTATAATATTCTGAATAAATAAGCTCTATATATCATTTACTCAATCCTTTATAGGCCAAATATGAGCTCAAGGACATCTAAAAGTCAACACAATTGATGTTTTAGCCGTTTTATTCCTATCAATAAGAGAGGATGCAACTAGACTTTAGTATAGAAAAATAGCTCTTGAAAAGTTCTACAATATTCTGAATAAATAAATGTCGACCCGTAAGGGCAATATTTTCGGGTTTTGTCCCACCATCGATGAATAAAACTACCTATTCTTAAGGAACCACCCATTAATTTTCGGTGTTTCATCTCGCTCAGCTCAATACTCAAAAGGTAAAGTCAAGAATATTTTTATACAAATGGCATGAATGTTATTTTAAAAATAGTCGTTGAAGTTCAATTAGTACTTTTAGTATTTACAGACCATGAATGGTACTCAAACTACTGCTAATCATTTTTTTCCTGAATACAATCAAATAATGTTAAAGTACTTATTCTGTCACAAGAAAATAACCCAACAAAAAGATTTTCTTGGATCTGGCTTGAAGCTATAGTTTTGGAGCTTCAAGGTAGGTAGATAAAAATATTAGCCTTTCTATATGCTCGTCAGTTATGATCATGAAGATAGCTATGCAGACCTCTGTGCGAAAGTTTTCTGGAAAACCTTTCAAAAAACCTTATGGTTTTGGAATCTCTTTTTGTAAGTGCTGGTATAAATAGGATAGAATGACCTGAATTCTGTACACCTTGAAGTTTCCAACTCGTTCTGCAATTTTCTGAGTGAGCTGCGAATTTTTCAATATTACGTGAAAACAGCCTGGTAACCCTAATTTTCATCTTGCTCTTGAGGTGTTACTTAAGAATAAAGATTGCCATCAGATTCAACGTGATCGATTGCCAATGTTCTATGCAACTTCAAGGCCACCTGAAGTCATCTGATACTAGTCCTGGGGCTTCAAGGAAATCCAACACCACGCCTGAACTACTTGATGATAGGAGCCAAATGGTAGTGAAACGATCAATCGGCGATTTCGGTAATAAAATCGCGATTATCGGAAATGATCGTTTAGTCGGACCGTCACGGCTCATGGCGACTGGGAAAAGAATCGCGATTTCATAGTGTAAAATTGCGACTGAAAAGCAGTTGCGATCAATCGATAATCTAGACTACGACTTCAATCGCGTTTTTGTACGCTAACATCGCGACTTCGCTTTTATTCACGATGGCTCGATAACAAAATCTTTCTTCGATTAATCGTGTTTGCAAGAAGAGTCATAACTGCACACTAGAAGAACGCGACTCATTTTTAGCCGAGATTGATCGATAAAGTTTCATATCATCAGTCAGTCGCAATTACTAAAGTACTTGCGATTTACTATTACAAAATCCAGATCAGCTGTTAGTTATAACTAACAGCTTTTTTGTATATGAATTAGAACAACCCATGAGATTTTCTTTTTAGGGCCGGCTAATCGGTCTGTCACTGCTCATGGCGATTGGAGAGAAAACTGCGATTTCATTGTGCATAATAGTGATTCAATCGATCATGATTTTTTCAGAAGTTTTTGTTTTGAGAACAAAAACAGAGAGCAGACTAGTAGAACGTCGGTCACACTAAATAACACAATGATCCCTTAGAGAAAAGAAAAAACCAACTAACAGCTTTTTTTGTATATGAATTAGACATATACCAAAATGAAAGAGAAAAGGAAATAATGAGTTTCGTCCTTGTTGTGCGTAATACGTACAAAAACGGCGAGAAGAACAGTGAACTATTATGTAGCTGGTTATAAAGTTTATAGTATAAACTGATAGTAGTCAGCACAAAAGCTTATTAGTATGATGAACATAAAAAGATTTGGACATTTTTGAGATATCCAACATTAAACGAATCTAGCTAGAGTCTTCTTAGTATTTTGATCTTTTTTGCTGGCTAACTGTTTCTGTTTGTACAGTTTTTTATGTTCTGCTCAATTTTGGATATTTTTATTGTTTAAATTCGTTGTACAGTACAAGAAATAAATAAATGTGTTTTTGAAAAACAAATGATGTTGCTTAGGATCAACCGAGAATCACTTTCAAATCGTATTCTTGCGAGACGACAACATAACCGAAGTATGATCTCGGTAAATCGTTCTAGGAGAAAAATTACCGGCTAGTCGTCAAAAGTATTTTAATCCCGTTTTTGTGACGTAAAGTCGCTTAGAGTAAGAATATCGATTAGTCGAAAAAGGCGATACACTCTCGATTAACTGCGATAAATATACGGTAGATACTTTCATACTATTAATCCCG